CGACTCTTGGAAATGAATATTTGTAAGCAGATTAAAATAAATAAGCCTTTTAATATTCACCACTAAACTAGGAAAAATAAAGTATAATGCATGATGACTGTATCCACAACTCGCTTCCAGGTCAAGGAGATCCTCCAAGAAGAAGAGGACCTGTCAGAAATCGTGCAGCTGGTCGGTAAAGCTTCCCTGGCCGAGACCGACAAGATCACTCTCGAGGTCGCCAAGCTGCTCAAGGACGACTTCCTGCAGCAGAACAGGTCATTTGCTAGAAAGTTCTTGGAATAATTATCAACATCATTTTAGTCGCAGGATTAACTGCTCATAAAAACTAAAAACTCATAAAACTCATTTATTTCTGTAAGTAGGCTTTAAAAAAGCACTTTTACTTTTACTCACTTTTATTTTTACTTGCTGAACATAGGCCTCTCCCAATAATTTCCACATCGCCTGGTTGGTAGCGACCTGCATCCAGCGGCATCCTGCTACTTTTATGAGGTTGTCAGTCTACCCTGTGGGTGTACGGTAGCAACGGTAGTACTATGATACCCCATTGCGAATTGTTAAGAGCACCAAGATCCAACAGAGGGAACTTAGGCCCGATTTTCACCAAAGCGGTGAGGAAGGAGACAAGAGCAGATGTGTTTTGAATAACCAATCAGATTTCCTTATTTCCACATCTCTGCTTAGTTTCGGTGGAAATGGATCAAGAGGAGAGAAGATGTGTTTATAAATCATTATTTTTAGTAGTGAGTAGCCCTTAATTAGAACATTGAGTATTTTTCAGAATTTTCTTTTCGAGAAATAAGCCTCCCTAGATAAGTGGTAAAACGTGAGAGTTGTAATTTTTTAAGGCCTTCGATTATTTCAATAGTTTTCGGAGCGTACATAAAGTGACACTTGATTACGATTCCAGTATTCCCAGGTCTTATTGCCTTATTACTGATAAGCAGATAAGATTGTAGTGTGTATCTAAAACTAAACCTTCTGTTTCTCCCCACAGCTACTCAGCCTACGACCGCTTCTGCCCGTTCTACAAGACGGTGGGCATGCTGAAGAACATCATCTCGTTCTACGACATGTCGCGGCACGCGGTGGAGTCCACGGCGCAGTCCGACAACAAGGTCACCTGGAACGTCATCCGCGACGCCATGGGCAACGTGCTCTACCAGCTCTCCTCCATGAAGTTCAAGGTATGCGCCCCCCACCCTCCTTATTGTATAAAAACTCTTTTTTTTTTTGCAAATCTACTATATAAAAATAAGTCGGGTTTTCCTCCCTGACGCTATAACTCCAGAACGCACGAACCGATTTCCACGGTTTTGCATTCGTTGGAAAGGTCTCGGGCTCCGTGAGGTTTATAGCAAAGAAAATTCGGGAAAAGGGGGTAAAACAGGATCCACGCGTACGAAGTCGCGGGCGGCCGCTAGTGGGCTTTTAAAAGGCACTTTACACGTCCCAGTATTAACCCTACCACTGCTTCGGAACAATAAATGGGCCAGCGCTGAGACGAAGCATCGCAAGAAAATCAGTCTCTATTGTCAGCCTCCTTTTCAAGGGTTTACAGTCTTTGAAATATACTTAGTCATAAATATTGATGCGAGCTAGGCAGTTAAACATCCCAAACATATTATTATAGGTCGCGTAGCTAAAGTTGAAGCGTTCGGCTCAAGCAAAGATTTTGTACCTGTATAGCCTTGACGCATTGGTAGCTTGTGTATTCTGACTGATTTGTGTTTTGAATTTAATTTAACATCAGTGACAATTTACAATTAGCTAGCTTTACAATTAGCAATCGGTCATTCTACAAGTAGCATGTCTACATACAATTCCACACCCAAGTCAGTACTTGTTGTCAAACCAAAGCATTTTGAACCTATTTCACATTGAATTTTGGCTAATATTTTGTTTCTTTGTACCCGCAGGACCCCGTGAAAGACGGCGAGGCTAAGATCAAGGCAGACTTCGACCAGCTCCTCGAGGACATGTCGGCCGCCTTCCGCAACCTGGAGGACTAAGCCTCCCCCCCACCCCCCACAAGAAGCGCGGGCCGTAGCACAAACGCCTTTGTATATACTCTTCGCCACTCGCCCATTTGTAGAGGAATATATTACTGTTGATGTTAACCGCGAATATAGGTGGCCTAAATTGTCTATGTTTATGCGAGAGTTTGACACTTTCGTGATCACAAAATTTATCATCGGTTGGATCGGGATTTTTATCATGTGTAGACAAATCGGTCTACTCCCCATAAGCCATAGCGGTACCACAAAGTCACTAACTCGAACTTACTCTTGAAAAGTTCATGGTAGAGTTCTCGATCTAATTATATTGTATGCGAAAGATTTATTTATGGGTCGATATATCGATATTACTCGTCCGGCCCGCGCCTCTAGTTATTGTTACTGTAGACGTAAAGTATGTTATGGCATGTAGAGTGCATAGGTTACAATTATTCGTGTTTCAATCAGAATTCGTGATTCCATTGTTGAATTTCAAATCGTAGAATAAATAAATGTTTTATGGTAGCTCGTGGGGACCGGTGTACATAGACAAACATTTTACGCGTCCCTCGGTTACGTGCATTAGTTGTTATTTATATTATTATTAAATTACTATTTATACACTAACAATGAATTATTTTCGCCCATGATTATCGTGAGTTTTCTGTATTTGAACCCTCTTGCATTCCATTTTTAGTGTTGGATAACTAAAAGAAAATCATCAGCTTGTTTTTAACGCTTCTATGATCAGTGGGTTACTTCGGTTCAGTATTACGGCGCGAAGCCTCGAGTTCAGTGAGATGTACAAATGTATTCTACGCAATAAAGTATACACTTGCTGTTTGGATTTCTGTGACGTTACGTGTTGAGAGGAGACGAGAGTTATTATAAATAATAAAATATATATAAAGTGTAATCTATTGTTTTACTATTGTTCTATCACTAGAACAATTCCTTTGCATTGTATTTTTTTTTCTATTTTGTTTTTATTATTTTACTCCGCTGTAAGCTTGACCCAACTACGATTTAATTTAATTAACACTGCAGTACACGCGCCCCTTTTTTACACGAAGACACGCGCGGCCTACTCTGGTAAGCCAATTTAAAATCACTGTAAATCAGTTTGTAAGCAATTTATGAATAGAATAATTAAGTAAATGATAAAAGTGTTTATTATAGTTATTTTATAATCAAAGTTTCTTTATATAACTACTAGCTGACCCGGCGAACTTTGTTCCGCCTTAATGGCAATAAATAAGCAGACTTTTTTTTTATTTCGAACGGGATAAAAAGTATCCTATGTCCTTCTCCTGGCTCTAAACTACCTCCCTGACAATTTTCAGCTAAATCGGTTCAGCCGTTCTTGAGTTATAAGTGGAGTAACTAACACGACTTTCTTTTATATATATAGATAGATAGATTTGGGATCAAACATTATAAACAGATTTAAAAGTTTTAAATTTTTTGGACCAAAATTGCACTCTGAGACCAATGTTAACAAAAACAAAATGTAGTCCAGTAGAATTAGCTTTTAAATCGGAAATAATTCCTACAAAAGATTTTATTGTTTTAATGGCTTCATTGGTTGCCCATTAAGACTCTCCTATGTTTTCGACTTCGACGGAGTTGTGCTTAAGTGGTGGGGGCACGCGAAAGGGGCATTTTTTCGGTTTTCCGGTTATACCGCGTAAAGGACTTACCCTATCAAAAAGTGGTCTTCATGACGGTTGAAGGGCACTTAATCCTGCATTGAATAAGACCAAATTCATATGTTTTGGACAAACCGTTCTCGCGCTAAAGTTCGGCAAAGTAGAAAATATACGTATAATTAATGACCCTCTCCATGTCCAATGGTTTGTTACCCACAGGCTTCTAAGTCTTGAAAAGGGCCACCTCAACCAGTGTAACCCTATCAAGGCTTACNAAGGCGACCCTTTACAAGGCTTGGAAGCATGTGGGTAACAAGCCATTGGACGTGGAGAGGGTCATTAATTATACGTATATTTTCTACTTTGCCGAACTTTAGCGCGAGAACGGTTTGTCCAAAACATATAAATTTGGTCTTATTCAATGCAGGATTAAGTGCCCTTTAACCGTCATGAAGACCACTTTTCGATAGGGTAAGTCCTTTACGCGGTATAACCGGAAAACCGAAAAAACGCCCCTTTCGGGGGCCCCCACCACTTAAGCACAACTCCGTCGAAGTCGAAAACTTAGGAGAGTCTTAATGGGCAACCAATGAAGCCATTAAAGCAAAAAAATCTTTTGTCGGAATTATTTCCGATTTAATCAATTTTTGTGTTTAATTCTACTGGCCTAATGACTGAAAAAATATGATTAGTTTTTTATCTGTCATAGTATTCATGACTTTCTACTGCCTGGTACACGGTATAAATCCATTTGTTGCAAGTCTTTCATAATTTTTTGTCGAGTGATTTCGGGCTTTTGAGTAGACCCGCAGTTTTGACGGCTAATTTTAGAAAAGTGCGCAGACGCTAGCGACCCAAGCTTTACTGGCTTACTGACAAATTTAGTAAACGAGGCTTTCCTGGAATGCCAGCTCTCTGGCGCAAGTTTTCAAAAAGTTATAGCGTAAAATGTTACCCTGGTCTACTATAGTAGTCCGCGCGTGTACTCTAGTGTTAAACAACTAAAATCCAAGCCTCAAACCTTATAATAACCATAACCCTGTGCCTGTCATCTTTGGATAGCATTTTATTTTGAGTATTTTGACTATTTTTGGGTCAGGTTATCTAAAGGATCGTAAAGTTTATGTAGAATGTTAACTTATTGTTAAAATAAACAAATGAAACAGTTGTATAAATTAGTTCTTTCTGAAAACTAATTCATAAAGGACTAATAGGTATAAAAACTTTTTCATTTCTTTATTTTGATATGTTTTTTTTGTTAATAACGATGTCCAAACTTCTTTCAACACTCATACCATGTCAAGAATTAGAAGAATGTCAGTATTGACAGCATATTATTCTGTCACTTCAGAAATGTGAATGGTTTTTCATTGCGATTTTACGTTGAGTTTTGAATAGTTTTTAGTTATCCAACGACAATGCCGCGGCGCGACGAGCCCAATATGAGCGACACCACGCTCCTGGTGAGCGTGGAAGACCTGATCAACATGGCCATGGGGCCTAGCGATGTAAGGGATCAGCCTTCCTTGTGGCCCTCCTACCAAGTGCATTTTTCCTGTGATGCAGATTTCAGCACGAGTGCGGATCTGGTAAAAACGTGTGAAATAATGAAATGCGGACCAGATCCGCACGCATGCCGAAATCCGCATCACAGGACGAAGGGCTCTAAAGATCTAATAAGCCCTCCTAGAACTATAAACCTACGAGACAGTTTTAATTTAGAGCTACATAAAAAACTGGATGAAATCGATCTCAGAGTTACAACTGTTACGTTTTGTAAGACTAGTTTAGGGGGGCTGATCGTTGGCACCACCTGATTGTAATGTTATTGTATAAATAGAGGTGACAATAGCCCAACGGTATCGGCATCGAACTATCGATTTGATATTCAAGTAACGGTAGTTCGAAACTGGCGACTGTTGGACTATTGTAGTGAATGTAGTGCCCTCTAAACTTACGCAAGCAAATACGAAGGAAACAATACTATTATAAATTGTAAGGGTACGCCCACAAACTGATTAGGCCTAAATGCTTACTGCTGTGCAGTGATTTTGATAATAACTGAATGATTTCCAATTTTAATAATGTTCAGTCGACGACACGTCAGTCTTATATTAATATTATATGCTTTGTTGCTAAAGGTTAGCTACTTACTACTTAATACGATGCCACAAAACCAGTTACCTTGATGTATCGTAATCTGTACTTCTTTATTCCGAAACTTCATGACTCCTTGATAATATCTCATGTTATGTTGTAGGTAGGTACTCTTGTTATAATAGTTTTTAAATATTTTAGAAAAATGTGGTCAACTTCAAGTTGATTCAAACTGTGCTGCACATCCTAGCGCGCCAGATGCGGATGCTGGAGCAGCGCGTCGAGATCCGCATCACCGACGCGAGAGAATCGTCGCCCAAACGGAAGATGGACGAGATCAAGGAGGAACGCAAGAGCAGATCACCAGAGAAGCGAGTTTCTAAGGATAGAGCGGCAAAAAGAGAGGTTGAAAAACTCGAGAAAGCAGCTCTTAAGGAGAAAGAAAAGGCAGAGCGCGCCGCTTCCAAGGACCGCGAGCGAGCGGACCGAGCTGTGTCTAAAGAGAGGGAAAAAGCGGAGAAAGCAGCCGCAAAGGAGCGTGATAAAGCGGACAGAGCTGCTTCGAAAGAAAGGGACAAAGCCGATAGAGCTGAATCTAAGGAACGAGAGAAGGCTGAGAAGGCAGCTGCCAAAGAAAAAGAAAAAGCTGAAAGAGCTGCATCTAAGGAACGGGATAAAGCTGATAGAGCCTCATCTAAAGAGAGAGATAAGGCTGATAAGGCTGCTGAAAAGGAAAGAGAAAAAGCTGAAAAAGCAGCCGCCAAGGAAAAAGACAAAGCTGATAGAGCATCTTCCAAAGAGCGTGAAAAAGCTGAAAAGGCAGCAGAGAAAGCTGCGGAGAAGGGTGATAAAACGGCAGCTAAGGAAAAAGAGAAGGCAGAAAAAGCAGCCGCAAAGGAGAAAGAGAAAGCTGACAAGGAAAAAGAGAAGGCGGCGAAAGTAGACACAAAAGAAAAGGAAAAGGCAGATAAAGCCGCTGCCAAAGAACAGGAAAAAGCGGATAAGGCGGCCGCCAAGGAAAAGGAAAAGGCAGAAAAGATGGCGGCTAAAGAAAAAGAGAAGGCCCAGAAGGAGAAAGAGGCAGCGCGACCTAAGTCGGTGGGTAGTTGGTAATCATGTTAATGAGGAAGAAAGTTGAAAAATATTTTCCACCATAAACTGACTGAATATAATTTCTTTTCAGAAAGATAGAAAGGGAAAAGCTGTATCTGATACGAGTATTGTGGTTTCAGGTATTCCTTTTTGTTCTGAGGGTAGTTGATGAACCTTAACCTTATTTTATAGCTACCATCAGTCAGTGTGTTACCATAACCTATACATAAATAATGAAAAGCTTTAACGTGGAAAAAGGGTTTGCAAACGAGTTTTAAAAACCTTTTCATTTCAGAATTTAAGTCTTGTAATAGTTTAAATTCCGATATTCATTAGACTAATCCTTGCCCTTTTTAATCTTCAGTGAATATACATATTTATGCGTAGTTTAATGTAATATCATCCTTTTACAGAAGTGGAGCGTCGAAAAGAGAAGGTGTTAGTAGGTAAATATCGCTCCGAGGTGTGAACTTAATATTTGCCGAGCAATATTTGACCGGCTTGTTTGTTGCAGTGGAGAAAGGGCCCACCACGCGCGCTGGTGAGTTGACCGCTACGTAAGAACAGTTTGCGTTTCTGATAATGCAGATAGCACCCTCATGTAATCATGTAAAGGTTATGTAGATATTGACATTTTACATCATAATTTTATTTGGTAAGATTCAAGATCGCAGACGTAGGTAGATAGCAAAGAACCTTTCTTTATACCTAGTCGTTTTAAATACGATAAATAACACTTTTCCTGCCTATAATATTCTCTTAACTTTGCAAATAAGTAGGCCCCATACAAAAGCTCAGCGGTCAGCAGGTTGAGTGTGACTGATGTCGTTTTAACGACGAAGCACACTTATCAACCCGGAAACGGATCGTAACGGTATCATCTCGAGCCGGTCAGTATTCTTACTATGAAATTTCGTACTGCAACGCACACTATCCGTAGGTACGCATCGTAACGTAAACGCCTCGCCTCGCGGTTGACAGCGTGGCGTAAGGCGATACAGTGTTTTTCCGGGTTGATGAGTGCACCTTCGATTCACGAGCGCCCATGTCTTGTCACTTCTTAAAATCTTCTTTAGTGTAAATTCATAAAATTCATTTATTTTTGCAAATAGGCTTTTAAAAAGCACTTTTACACGTCCCAGTATTAACCCTACCACTGCTTCAGGACAATAAATCGGCCAGCGCTGAGAAGAAGCAACGCAAGAAACTCGGTCACTATTGTCAGTCTTCTTTTGAAGGGCTGTAACAACATTTTAATATGTAATTTCTCGTAAGAACGCCGCGAGAACATCGAGGTGGTGACGCGGTCGCAGTTCGACCTGGTGGCGGCCATGGTGAAGGAGCTACAGGCGCGCGCCGGCCCGCTGCCGCCGCCCACGCTGCCCAGCAACAAGAAGCTCAAGGACGACCTCGCCAAGGGCAGCGCCTCGCTCACCGACACCATGAAGGCCATGCAGGTACGATGGCCACGTAGGCCTTTGTTGGCCTTTGTTGGCACTAGTTTACAATAATCTGGCCAGCAATATCACACAGATGTGAAATGATGTGTAAGTGCTTAACCACGTACGTCAGCGTCAAACAGTTCGTGTCACTCAGTCGCCAAAAAGTCTTTCTTACAATTGAAATAAGGTTGTGTTGTCAACTTTTTGGCTACTTTGGGTGTCAGGAACAGTTTGACGCTGACTGTACCACTGTTTTGTGTTGCTGTTAACCGATAAAACTTTTTGCTTTGCTTAGGCTGTATCTGCTAAAAATCTAGCAGCTTCCGATTGGTGGGTGGAATATAGGGCCTACCCCCAAGTGCTTGTTTTTCAGCATGCTCAGCTCTTGGTTACTTTATGCTTTCATATTGATATCAAGTTTATTGCTAATCATATAGGAAAACGCTGGATGCAGGATGTTACCAACAACAGGCGACGTGGAAACCATTAGGGGAGGTCTATGTTCAACATTGGACGTCCTGTGGCTGAAATGATGATGATGATGATGTTGAAGAAGCTCTAGCCCCTGCCTAAGTGTTTATCTATGCCTTTGCAATCGCTTCAATCTCCAGCTTCTTTCATAAAACCTGCAGGTGACAGCCCGCGTGCGTGCAGCAGAAAAAGCCATCACGCGCATGGGCGAGCTGCTGACGGCTCTAGCGGCGGCCGGCGCGCTGCCGCACGACCTCGACCTGGCCGACATCAAGCTTGAAGTGCCCGAGTCTGAGGCCGAGCTCGCCGCCGCCGCAGCCGCTGCGCCGCAGGTATGACTTCCACAAGTGACAGTAGCAGCAGGGAAGGCTATCACACGCATCGTCGAGCTTCTGACAGCGCCCGGATCTGGTCGACATCAAGTTCGAGGTGCCCGAGTCAGAGGCTGAGCTCGCCGCGCCCGCTGCTCCGCAGGTATGACTCCCACAAGTGACAGCATCAGCGAAGGCCATCAAACGCATGGGAGAGTTCTTGATGGCCCTGGTGCGATCTGGACCTGGCCGACATCAAACTCGAGGTGCCCGAGTCTGAAGCCGAGCTCGCCGCCGCCGCATCCGCCGCGCCGCAGGTATGTAAGTGACAGTAGCAGCAGGGAAGGCCATCAAACGCATGGGAGAGTTCCTGACGGCTCTGGAGCGTCTTGGACTTGGTTGACATCAAGCTTGAAGTGCCCGAGTCTGAGGCCGAGCTCGCCGCCGCCGCAGCCGCCGCGCCGCAGGTATGACTCCTGTAGGTGACAGCATCAGCAGGGAAGGCCATGAAACACATGGGAGAGTTCCTGAGTGACAGAGCAGCAGGGAAGGCCATCACACGCATCGTCGTGCTTCTGACAGCACGCCTGGATCTGGTCGACATCAAGTTCGAGGTGCCCGAGTCAGAGGCCGAGTTCGCCGCGCCCGCCGCTCCGCAGGTATGACTCCTACAAGTGACAGCATCAGCAGGGAAGCCCATCACACGCATCGTCGAGCTTCTGACAGCATGCCCGGATCAGGTCGACATCAAGTTCGAGGTGCCCGAGTCAGAGGCTGAGCTCGCCGCGCCCGCTGCTCCGCAGGTATGACTCCCACAATTGACTGCAGCAGCAGGGAAAGCCATCAAACGCATGGGAGAGTTCCTGATGGCTCTGGCGCGACCTGGACCTGGCCGACATCAAGCTTGAAGTGCCCGAGCCTGAAGCCGAGCTCGCCGCGGCTGCCACACCTACTGCGCCACTCCTGGTGACAGAAACTGCTTCTGCTAAAAGGCCGAGATGGCCAAAGAGATTGACATACCTGCCTTGTTATGCAAAAAAAAACATTTTCTTGATAATTTTCTCTATGTTTATCTTTCAAACGAGGGCAACTTTTAATATCAGTCTTTAAAAGTTTTCATAGTCGGAAGATACGATGAAAACGACATTATTGTCAGTCAGATTGAACTGGGGACTATCGCAAATTGATTTGTAGTTTATTTACTTATTTATAGGTAGTCGCATAGTTACACTTTTCCTTTCTTATTCTTTCAACAGCCAGAAAAGTCTAAAACGGCTGCGGCGCCGCCGGCTCTCCCTCGCAAGTCGGTGGCCATCGACCCGCTGACGATGCCGTCGCAGCCGGAGATGAAGCCGGGGCTGTCGGTGGCGGCGGCCACGTCTCGGCCGTCCGTGGCCGCGGCCACGTCTCGCGCGTCCGTAGCCGCGGCCACGTCGCGTGCGTCCATAGCGGCCGGGCTCGGCAGGCCCTCCACCGTATCAAAAGCCTCTGTCCTTTCCACTGCGGCTATGCCGGGCGTCAGTCACCCGGAGATGGAGTAAGTTCATGTTAATATTATGGTCTCTAATGAAAAAGTTACAAGGTACAAAACAGCGGATTCTAAGGCTGCAGATATTTTTGTACTAAGACGCGAACCAACTTCGTTCAAGGCGCCACTGTATTCGAACGGGATTAGGCCATCATATAATTTATGTAAACAAAATTATGTCATTGATGTATTTATATCACAGCTCTTCTAAAAAAGTTTTATTATATACTTTCCGCTTAGTTTCGGTGGGATAAAAATAACCAGGTATTTTTTTCAAAAAATTAAATTAATTGATGTTTTACAGTGCGGCAATCCGTGGCCTGAGAGACGACTTGACGAAAACAGTTCAAAACATGACCACCAAGGCCACCTCTGTCGCCGAGAACGCAGCTTCTTCCGCCAAATCTGTGGGTAAGTGATCTTTCGTCTGATAAGGCTGGTTTTATTGTCACGCGGACCGTCCGGTGCGGACCCGCTCCGCACGGCCAATCTGTATGAACTTCTAGGGAGAGTTTTAGAGTAATGCGGTCCGGAGGAACCGCTCGCTATGTAACCGTGTTTGACTAACGTGCTATTTTCTGGTTGCAGCTGAAAAATTAGAAGTTGCCACAAAACTGGACAATAGGATTTCGACGTTACATTCCCTTGTGTCTGACTACGCCGAGCAACTCAGCGGGTTCGATTCTGGTCTAACGACACAGGTAATGACATAATTATTCTAAAATACCTACCTAAAACTGCTAAAACACCTATTTTACTTTATTTGTAGTCTGCCTTAAACAAATAACTATAGGAATTTATAGCTGACATGGAATTTTACTTATGAGTGATGAGTCGTAGGATTATAGGTATGAAATTTTAAAACAATTATCGTATTAAAATAGTAAATTATTTTTATTTATGGAGTGTGTAGGTGGTGTAGGTCGGAAACAAAATTCATTGTCTTGCAAAAATAAACTACGTTTGTCAATATTTATTTTCAACGCGGTGACCTATTTCGCCGCTCTTCCCACCGGCCTCGGTGGCGCAGTAGGCAGCGCGTAAGTCTCATAATCTTAAGGTCGTGAGTTCGATCCTCACCCGGGGCATATTTTTTGGATAATTATTGGATTTCAGTTATTTTCTATTCATTTTAGTATGTATAAAAGTGTACTTATACATACTTTTTTGTTTTCTTTTTTTTTGTGAAAAGTTATTTTAGAGATAACTCCTTAATAGTAGTAGATGGCGCTGCTGGCTAACTTATTTTTGTCAAGGTCTAATAAAATTTTCCTACAAATTCTACATGAAATTACATTATTACTCTACAGTAGGGATTGTCCTAGGTCTATAAACATTTGGTTTAGGTTACGTTTGCATGTTTATTTAAGTAACACAGTGGAACGTGTGGTATGAAAATGCAAATGTTTTGTTTCAGATGTCAAGCTTCCGTGACCAGATGACGCAAATGAGAACTGAACTTGGAGCTGGACTCAAGCAGCTCGAGCAAGTCAACAACAACGCCGAGACCGCAGGTTTGAGCTCAAAAACAAAATACTGTAGCGATGTGAAGTATAATGTAGTGATAAGAAAAAAATACCGTGATAAGTGATGATAACGTCGTTTTAATAGCGCGTGAATGAGATAATGTTTTGAACATAGATTCTGATACTGATGACATAATCGCTAATAAATTAATCAAAAAAGTGTTTGTTTTTGAAATTATTTATTATTATTAAAATTCTACCTGAAAAAATATTGCTGCTATGTGAGTAGCTCACAGGGTACAATTAACATCAGAAACAACCATTTTTTAAGCGGAAAAATTGTCTGTTCCTCGAGTGGGAAGCCTGCCTACACTACATCTTTTGAGGTGGAATTGTGTGAAGCAATCGTAATCATTTGACAGTTCATAACGTACGATTATTCTGTCAAACGTTTTGTTTAACTGACTTTATCGTACGTTATGAACTGTCAAATGATTAAGATTCTTTCTTTCTTTCTTTTCTTTTTTCAGCCAAATGACGTCCACTGCTGGAAAAAGGCCTCCCCCAAGGTTTTCCACAATGAACGGTCCTGCGCTGCCCGCATCCAGGCTCTTCCCGCGACCTTTACCAGATCGTCGGTCCACCTAGTAGGAGGCCTGCCCACGCTACGTCTTCCAGCCCGTGGTCGCCACTCGAGAACTTTCCTGCCCCAACGGCCATCGTCTCTACGAGCTATGTGCCCCGCCCACTGCCACTTGATTTTAGCAATTCTGCGAGCTATGAGATTAAGATTGCTTTACACAATTCCACCTCTTGTCCGTGGTCGCCACTCTAGAACTATTCTATCCTACCGGCCGTCAGCTGTACGAGTTATGTGTTCCGCACACTGCCATTTAATTTTAATAATTCAGGGGCTTTCTTGTTTAATTTAGTTCATTAGCATATATTATGCTAATGAGGGTTTTCGCAAATGAAAGATCCGCTAGATGGCGGGACGTGGATTTGGGGTGTGACTGCTGCGTGATTGGTGGATTTTGACATATCTGTCAATGTCATGTCAAAAATAACCAATCATGCAGCATTTGGACCTCGCGTCTACGTATTGCCATCTGGCGGATTTTTAATTCGCGAAACCCTCATTGCCATATTATGGCTAATTAGGCCAAGACTAACATGCTTTATGTATTCCAGCGGTGCTGGAGCTGACGGAGCGCTACGAGGGCCTGGTGTCCGAGTTAGACCACACCATGCACACGCACCGCGCGCTCACCGCCTTCCAGAACCAGCTTGGCGACGAGCTGCATGTTAGTACACCCAGGCCTGTTCATCTCCGCGAGTTTACATCGAAAACAAAACACGCACGATGGCCCACCTACAGGATACTATTCGACAAGGCCTCACATACGAGCGAACATTGACTCACGCACGCGTATTCTTGTGTATGATGGAACAAAATAAAGAAAATGGTGTACTAAATACTGTGCAGTATTTAACTGCCTACATAATAATAAAAACACAGAATATACTTTTTTAAGTTGCCTCAAGACACTGAGAGGTAAATAAGTAGGTAGTTAATATTATTCATGATAATTCATTTTAAATCATGTATTTCCTCTGCCATTTTCCGCAGTTTGGCACCTCACGTCACATCATTTTACCGAAGTCAGCCCTATAGCTTCGGCGCAGTGCCGATCACTGACGTTTGTCAACAAAATGGTGCTTGACTCTTGAGACAGGCTAAATTAAATCATATTGTTAAATACATTGAGCATACATTTTTTTAAATACCTTCGCGAAGTAAAACTTCTGTACGTAGTACTTATTATTATTCTGTGGTACACCTTGGGTGTAGTAGGGAGACCGAAGGAAATTAAAGCAGAGGACAGTTGAGACATTGACGATTTTTTGGAACTTATTAACTACTAGTGAGCTCGTACCAGTGCGCATTTTTAGCTCAAATCTCGAGTTAACAAATGCGAGCTGTTACAAGCTCGCTTCTTCTTCTTCTTTTCTTTTCGTGTCGACAACAAACCTACACAGTGTCAGCCCAAAACTCCGCCACAAGAGTGGCGTTGTCAGTAGCACTCATCAAATCCTCCTGAGTGCAGTTGCTTTGGCACTCAGGGCATGACATCAGGTGCTTCATCGACTGGGGAACAAGCTCGCTAATAGTTATTAGGTTTCCGAAAATCGACAATGTCACAACTCTCCTCTGTTACAACTCACCTCCGTCTTCCCTAGGGTAGATAGAGATATCATGAAGTTTCGAAAGTGTAAAAATGTTTTTTTTTACAACATTAACGGAAGTTTTTGTTCTTTTGCAGAGCCTCGTGGAATGCGTTGAAATGTTGCGCGAACAGAAAGCAGACCGAGATGAAGTCTTAGACGGCTTAAGAGATAAGGTACGCAGTCATCTTCATTGTCTGTCGATTTTTCCCGGTTTCCAAAGCGGAGCGGAAACATATTTTAAATAACCATTTCATTCTCCAACAATATAATGTGGGGAATGAAGTGAAATCTGAAAGAAACAAGAAAAGAATGAAATCGGATTGATTATTCTAATAATTTCTCAGTTCTTCTCAACCGAGCCTTCATCATTTTAGTCTGATATTCACTGCTGAACATAGGCCTTATGATTTCCATAATATTTGCCTCCTCGGCATTCGTTTCAAGCACCGCAGCTGGTGTTGCGTTCACACCGACCACTAAGGATTATACCAGGCCTGTTCATCTCCGCGAGTTTACATCGAAAACAAAACACGCACGATGGCCCACCTACAGGATACTATTCGACAAGGCCTCACATACGAGCGAACATTGACTCACGCACGCGTATTCTTGTGTATGATGGAAGAATTTTTTTTTTTTTTTATGCTAGCCAAGGCAGGTATTTGACCGCAATCGCAAAATAAAGAAAATGGTGTATTAAATACTGTGCAGTATTTAACTGCCTAAATAATAATAAAAACACAGAATGTACTTTTTTAAGTTGCCTCAAGACATTGAGAGGTAAATAAGTAGTTAATATTATTCATGAATTTCATGATAATTCATGCTAAATCATTATTTCCTCCGCCATTTTCCGCAGTTTGGCACCTCACGTCACATCATTTTACCAAAGTCAGCCCTATAGCTTCGGCGCAGTGCCGATCACTGACGTTTGTCAACAAAATGGTGCTTGACTCTTGAGACAGGCTAAATTACACCATATTGTTAATGATATTCAGCATACATTTTTTTTAAATACCTTCGCGAAGTAAAACTTCTGTACGTAGTACTTATTATTATTCTGTGATTATACCACTGTCCTCAGGCGGACAACTCTCGGCTGGCGGGGCTGCTGACGGTGGCGGAGTTCAGCCTCGCGCGCGTCGAGCTGGAGAAGCGCCTCGACGTCTGCCACGACAAGTTCAAGCGCCAGGAGAACGTCTGGATGGTACGCTTCATGTTTGACGAGCCTAAAGTCCAAGGAATCAAAGTCAAAGTCAAAGTCAAAATTTCTTTATTTGTTTAGACTAATAAATAGTTCTTACAAATCGTCATTTTGCTCTTAAGGAGCCTCTACATGTCTCATAATCTTTTTACCCTACCAGCGCTTCGAGACCAACATTGCTGAGAAGAAGCGCCGCAACAAACTCAGTCGCCACTGTCTGAATCGGCATATGACTGCCGAGTCGAGGGTCAGGGCCTTGCCACACTGGCGGATTGCAAGCGTTTTCTGGGCGGAGCAGCGGCCGCATGTACGCAGTGGACACGCCGCGGCATTTTGCAAGCATTTTAGTAACCGCGACGTGCCTGCCGCGCGCTCCGCTTGCAATCCGCCAATGTGGCAAGGCCCTTAGACCAGTGAAACTTGCATGTATCAAATCCGGTGCCCTAAGACCTAGGTGAACGTCAAAAGCAACAACGCGACTCGTCGCTCACTTGGGTTAGCGACATAAACACTTGAGTGCAGATTATGTTCTATAATAGACAATTTGACACCATTCCCCAATAATTCTAAATCACAACTTTTCTAAAAAGACATTTTTCATTCTGGTCTTAAAATCTTAATTAATTTTAAATTACTTATAAATTACGATTTTTGGTCGCAATGTAATTGAAAAAAGTAGTTCAATTGTGTTGATAAAATAGTGACGTCACTTGCTTGTAGTGGCATACAAATTCTATGGGAGAGTTTCGTTTTGACATTTTTAAAAAGTACGTCAATTGATTGGTGATGTCAACATGTCTATTGCAACCCTAAAAGTAAAGTTACCTTAATTTGGTGTCCAGACGGCGCTGAAAGATCTGACTCGCGTGACGGAGAGCAAAGCGGAGATCACGCAACTGCTGGCGGCGCGCGAGGCCGCCGAGCTCATGCTGCTCGAGCTGCAGGACAAGCAGGACAAGCTCGCCGTCATCCTCGGCGAGCCCAAGGTACAAACTAGAGTATACGTGGCGTGACTCCTAGCAGGCCTGTTCATCTCCGCGAGTTTTCATCGAAAACAAAACACGCACGATGGCCCACCTACAGGATACTATTCGACAAGGCCTCACATACGAGCGAACATTGACTCACGCACGCGTATTCTTGTGTATGGTGGAAGAAAATAAAGAAAATGATGTACTAAATACTGTGCAGTATTTAACTGCCAAAATAATAATAAAAACACAGAATGTACTTTTTTAAGTTGCCTCAAGACACTGAGAGGTAAATAAGTAGTTAATATTATTCATGATAATTCATGCTAAATCATGTATTTCCTCCGCCATTTTCCGCAGTTTGGCACCTCACGTCACATCATTTTACCGAAGTCAGCCCTATAGCTTCGGCGCAGTGCCGATCACTGACGTTTGTCAACAAAATGGTGCTTGACTCTTGAGACAGGCTAAATTACACCATATTGTTAGTGACATTGAGCATACATTTTTTTAAATACCTTCGCGAAGTAAAAATTCTGTACGTAGTACTTATTATTATTCTGTGCTCCTAGCGCCAAGCGGAGATCGGCAGCTCCAGAAACAATAAGAAATGTTCATCCTCTAAGGGCTGTGATTTCAATCGTCGGATAACTTTTACTGAAGAATAAGTTTGGCACCTTGACAGTTTCAGTTTTTGTCAAAATGACAAGTTTATTCTTCTGATAAAAGATAGATGACCCACGCTGAACTGTCCCACCAAACTCAATGACAGGGGGGCGCTACCATCGTTCAACTATATGGTTTTCAACATGGCAAACATCGGAACCAGCGATCCGGTATTGACGGTGGCGCCCCACTGTCAATGTCATGCATAGGACAGTTCGATATTTTGGAATTATATTTAACGATTAAAAAAGCAGCCCCAAGTTCCATATTGGTGACTAAACGTTACATATACCGTTCCTCAAACCTATCTCTGTATCAAAATTGATCAACATGGGTTATTTAGTGGCTTACTCGTAAAAATTTTGTTCATTAGTTTCAGTCAAATTACGTTCACTGCTGGAAAGAAACATCCCCCAAGGACTACCACATTCAGCAATCTTGCTTCATCCAGAGATCGTTGATCCATCGCGAACAAATAAACTTATTAACCTTCTCGTATGCGCAGGCGGCGATGCTGACGCGCGCACTAGCCCGCGGCGCAGCTTGCGGCTCGTGCTTGACTCCAGCGCTGATGGATCCTATGGACGCCAGCTACGGTGCGCCGCCGCCGCTGCCCGCGATGCGTCCGCGGCCTGTAGGAGCCCCCGAAGCTGGGGACGAAGAGCCTTGTATGCCCGAGTGGAAGCCCCCTGAGCCGCCTGACACCAGGTATCATCATCATCATCATTTCAGCCATAGGACGTCCACTGCTGAACATAGGCCTCCCCCAATGAGGGCTGTCGTTTTTTTACCTAACAGTTGACACCCCTGGCGATTGACAGGATCTTACTCTACAGTGGCGCCATCTTGATGAGTGCAAATGCGATAGTCCTCCTACCACTTTCGCGCTCACCAGCTGGCGCCACTGTCTTCGCTACTAGCAAGTGACAGGACCTTACTCTACAGTGGCGCCAACTGGTGAGCGCTAAAACGATAGCCCTCATTCCATGTTGATCGATTGGTAGCGGACTGCGTCCAGCGCTTCCCTGCTACCTTTACGATGTCGTCGGTCCACCTTGTAGGTGGGCGTCCCACGCTGCGTTTTCCGGTACGCAGGGCACATAGTACGTAGAACTGACGGCCGATGGGGCAGAAAGGTAGGTGGTGGAGACACCAGGTATGGATGGAACTAATCCCAGCTCTATGCTGACGCGTGCTATGGCCCGTAGTGCGGCTTGCGGCTCGCGTTGACTTCAGCGCTGATGGAACCTTTGGACGCCGCTACCCGCGATTTGCCCGCATCCAGTTGTCACCTCCGAGACCGGGGATGAGGAGCCCTGCGTGCCCGAGTGGAAGCCGTCCGAGCCGCCTGACACCAGGTACGGGGCTAAGCCCAGCTCTCTTTCTGGAAACGCAGGGCGTGAATCACTCACAGGTTGGTGTCCTCGAAGAGGCCTACCGGCTAAGCTTCGCTGGCCTCCTGGCGTGCCATGATGGCGGAGCTCTGAATATCCCACAGCTGCTACTCCTGTATAATCAGGATGCCTCACACCAGCTCTCATGGATCCTATGGACGCGAGCTACGGCGCGCCGCCGCCGCTGCCTGCGATGCGTCCGCGGCCCGTGGGGGCTCCCGAGGCCGGGGACGAGGAGCCGTGCGCGCCCGAGTGGAAGCCGCCCGAGCCGCCTGACACCAGGTACTGATGGAACTACTCCCAACTCTATGCTGACGCGTGCTATGGCCCGTGGTACGGCGTGCGGCTCGTGCTTGACTTCAGCGCTGATGGAACCTTTGGACGCGAGCTGTGGGGGCTCCCGAGGCCGGGGACGAAGAGCCGTGTATGCCCGAGTGGAAGCCGCCTGAGTCGCCTGATACCAGGTACGGGGCTAAGCCCAGCTCTCTTTCTGGAAACAGGGCGTGAATCATGCACAGGTTGGTGCCCACCAGGTAAGCTTCGCTGGCCTCCCGGAGCGCCATGATGGCGGAGGTCTGAATTTCCCACAGCTGCTACTCCTGTATGACCAGGATACTTCACACCAGCGCTCATCATCATCATCATTTCAGCCATAGGACGTCCACTGCTGAACATAGGCCTCCCTCAATGCTTTCCATGTTGATCGATTGGTAGCGGCCTGCGTCCAGCGCTTCCCTGCTACCTTTACGATGTCGTCGGTCCACCTTGTAGGTGGGCGTCCCACGCTGCGTTTTCCGGTACGCATGGCACATAGTACGCAGAACTGACGGCCGATGGGGCAGAAAGGTTCTGGAATGGAGACACCAGGTATGGATGGAACTAATCCCAGCTCTATGCTGACGCGTGCTATGGCCCGTGGTGCGGCTTGCAACTCGTGCTTGACACCAGCGCTGATGGATCCTTAGGACGCCGCTACCCGCGATTTGCAACCATCCAGTTGTCTCCTCCGAGACCGGGGATGAGGAGCCCTGCGTGCCTGAGTGGAAGCCGCCCGAGCCGCCTGACACCAGGTATGAAGCTAAGCTCAGCTCTCTTTCTGGAAATACAGGGCGTGAATCACGCACAGGTTGGTGTCCCGATAAGGCCCACCGGGTAAGCTTCGCTGGCCTCCTGGAGCGCCATGATGGCGGAGCTCTGAATATCCCACAGCTGCTTCTCCTGTATAACCACGATGCCTCACACTAGCGCTGATGGATTTTCTCGACGCCAGCGAATCTTAATTCTTTTCTCCATGCTACCACTATGGAATAGCCCAGCTCACTTTCCCACAGCTGCTACTCCTGTATAGTCAGAATCTATAGTTTGCCCTCCAATCAAACCCAAACAGAGTAATGGTGCTTAGTGCGAGTTTGCATTGTGAACGTCGTCGCTAGCGAGTGCGTCAAAAAATCTGTGAAAATTTTAGTTCTTGAAAGTATCCGCTAGGGTTACTGTACAATCCGTCATACATTTATCATTTTTTTTACGCAGTTGTTAGCGAAGACGTTTGATGTAACTCACATTAAACCCCCAGGTTGATTAATCTCGAAGATAGCAAGCTATTCTACTATCTTGGAAGACAACGAATTTAATGAGAAGAATATAGGAGTTCGAAATGTACTTGTGATTTAGATCCTCTTCTCTCCATTGGTAGATGACTGAAAATTTTAAGAATGTGAAATATAGGATTGCATTGTAAGTGCAAAACCCATTCGGTACTGTGAAAAGTACCGCCTGTTTGGTATAATTACGTAGAAAAAGAAACTGCGTTTGCTCTTGGAGTAGCAACTTACAACGTTTTTCACTTCACATCAACACGTGTTTAAAGCTATAACTTGATTATGTTCCAGGGATCACACCTGCCACCGCTGGTGCGGCGGCTCGCACACGCTGCTGTCGGAGGCGGTGACCCGCGAGAAGGCGCCGCCGCTGCAGGTGCCGGGCGCGCCAACCAAACGCTATGCTGGCTACGGCTCCGATGGACGGGTGAATTAACTAATTACTATAAAAACTTTGCTAAATGTGTAATAGACTAAGAGCTAGTGAACGCCAGACCTACGTCATTTTATAAAAGCTGAAAGTTTGTCAGCGTATGCTCTCAATATAGGATATAATGTTGGTAAATTATCTTTAAATTTATAATTAAATTATAGAAAATTATAAATCTGATTTTTATGTATAATATTTGGGCAATAATTAGAAGTATTTTCCCCAACAGCCAGACAGTTTTGACAGTTCCAACTCCTTGCCAGACAGTTTTTTTAGGGTAGCTCCCAAAGCCACCACGACCCAAACTTCATAATTCACCAACATTATATCCTATATTGGGAGCATACGCTGACAAACTTTCAGCTTTTATAAAATGACGTAAGTCTGGCGTTCACTAGCTCTTAGTCTATAAGTTATAATGCTGAGTTGCACCACCTAACTTTGACCGTAACTATGACGATAACCGGTGTCTTTTGTATGGGATTTGACAGATTTTTGACGTTTGCCAAAGTTAAAGTAGATGGTACAACCCAACTTAAGTTTACTGCTTAACTCAGTTAATTCCTTTAATGGAAGCGGCACGAGAGGGATGACATCTACATAATATGACGTGACAGAGTCACAGAGCATATAAATCTAAAGAAGATCTGAAATCTCGTTGACGTTTGACGTTTCAAAAACACCCTTCCGTTCTCACCACTGACTGAGTTACCCCCTAGATCTAAAGTCCGGTCGCCGAGCAGATATAATATCGCGTGAGTGATAAGGATGGGTAGCTTGGGATCATTGTGTGCAGGACTGTTTATTTATCCGGTCACAAAAATATACGGAACGGTTACGAAGACCGGGTAATCGTAGCGGAGTAGGTACACGGAGTGGGCTGTCGACGGACGCGGTAAAAACGATGATGCGGTGGACTGTAGACTGTGGACTGTATACGGTGGCACTCCGGTAGACGGTGTCTCCAGTCGTTGCACACTGAAGTTCGGTGGGTGGATCGTTGACTCGTCTTTGTCGAAGGACGGCGTCGATACGGTGCGCAGTGAAACGTATCCGAAGTCACGAAGCAATAACGGTGTCCGGTTCTGATGCTGAAGTCGTCAATATAATCACTATTCTTCAATCGCGGTGAGAAATCTTCCTGTAGCTCTTCGGTCGGAGGAGGTTCACTCTTGATCTGCTCGGAGAACTGTCTTGAGTAGAACTGAATGACGGATCGGTCCGGCGGCCGGTTTATATACCGCTCCAGCTCGCCTACTAACTAGAAATCGACGGTTCGCCCGCTTTCTGGAAGACGCGAGTACTTGCTCTAACGCGCGGGACTCGTAAACAAAGTTTTAAGGCGTCCGGATATGAGCCTTATTTCTTATGCGCTACGGTCGGTTATCGCGGGCGCGCGTGCTATTGCTGTCCTTTGCGCGCTCGCACTGTCTCTTTCTTTTCAAGTACTTGCCGCGCGCCGATGATTTATGACATATCTATACCTATAGGCGCGTATATGTATTTGCTGCGGTTTCTTTTATATTTTTAGGGTTCTGTGGGAAGAATTCGTAGTCGTCGTGAACACATTGGACGAAAATTCTATGTGCTCGGCGACCGGACTTTATACTTGTTATTTATGTAGAGGTAGCTGCTATCTAGTCTGTGTGTGACAATAGTTTTGTAATAGTATACGGTAAAGCAACCATAGTACTGCTAACGACTAACGAGCACTACGGCTGCTACCAAGTTAGCTGTGCTATAGGAATACTGGAACTGCTACGACGCGTTACATAACGTTACAATTAAGTCAACTACGATTTGACTGCACTATGAGTTTTTGATACTGCTACGGAGCTAGCTATGCTACGATGTTTAGACTGCTCTACGGCGACGAACTGTGCAAATAAATGAATTTGAATTTGTTTTATAAGTTTTGTGTCACACATAATTAGTGTCCGACCGAATATGGATTTTCAGCCGAAAACGGAAACGAAAACGAAGCTTCGGCTGCAGTCTCATTTTCGGCCGAAAACGAAAACGAAAACCAAAATGACCTTCAACTCTCAAATTTGAATCTGAAATTATGTAAAAACTTTGAAAACCGTTAATGTTTTGACCAAAAACATAATGACGTTTTACAGTTGATTTTGATAAGGATTGATTAAAAAAAACCGGCATTAAGATTTAAGACACAAAAAAAATAATTAGGAATTCTTAGTAGAATATTATTTCCGGTGTATATTGAAATATTGGGAAGTGAAGAAGAAATAAAGGGTGTCCAGTGCGAATTTTTCAACTTAAAAGATTTACTCTAACTCTACTTTGATCTACTTTTAACTTCAAAAATGTATTCAACAAATAAATTAATGATTTTTTATTATTTATTACTAATGCAAACTTAGGAGTTTAACAATGCGGATTTAATTTTTTATAGGCAATGTCTTTTAAATGATGCCCGTTTTACTATAGGCACTCTCACAGCCGGACCCTTACATTCGCAACTATGCGAGAGCCATTGAGTTATAATGTACTACGTACGTAATATTACTTCAATGGCGAGAGCAAATCGCGCTAATAATTTTCCTACAACTTCACGGCGGATATTTTTTTACAGAACCTGAATTATTTAAGGATTGTTTGCTGTAAACTTTTGACTTGAGATATCTCCACAAGAAAAAGTCGCATGGTGTGAGATCTGGTGACCGAGGCGGCTAGGGTATGTCCCAGTACTTGCTGATCATTTATTTGAAAAAAAAAAGTCCTCAGTGTCTCCATCGAGGTACTCTCCGTGTGTGGTGAGACACCTTTTTGCTGAAATAGAGTTACGTAGTTGACCGGGGTGCAGTTGCAGTTGTGGTATCAGACATTCATTGATCATTCGACAATACATTTCAAATACTCTAATAATGCTCAACTGCGAACGCTCTGTAGGCTCCCGACCAGTGACTCATGGCGTATTTCAAATCCGCATTAGACTCTATTTTGAAACAATTAAACTTACTGAAAACTCTTTGGTTTTATTTGTATTCAATTTTGAACTTGGAAAATTCTAGCTGGACATCCTTTACAACGTAACCTGACTTCACAACTTCAAAAGAGTGTGACAATACCGCGTCCGTTGAAGTCTGATTGGAACCATGAGTGCACCAGATTCACTCCCGAAGATATCGGAACGATAAACGTCACCATCTTATTCACGTATTTCTGATATTCGGTTTGGCCGAAGCTTCGGCTCGTTTTTGGCCGAAAACGAAAATATGGCCGAATGTCCATTTTTTGGCCGAAAATGGCCGAAAACGAAAACGAAAACGAATATTCGGTCGGTCACTACACATAATACACTACGGCTACTACGAAATTAGCAGTGCTACGGGAATACGGGAACCGCTACGAAGCGTTACATGTTACCAAGTCAGCTACGATTTGAACTGCTACGAGTTTTTTCTACTGCTACGGGAGCTGGCTATGCTACGGTGCTTCGTGCTTAGACTGCTACGACGAACTGAGGGCTTAGTGTGAGTTTACATCAAACGGTATGTATGACGGAATGTACAGCGCTCCTAGCGGAAACTTACAAGAACTAAAATTATCATATATTTTTTTAACGCGCTCACTACTGAGGACCGTTGATGTAAACTCACACTAAACCCTTTGTTTATAAGTTATGTCACACCATGTCACACGCAACTTGTGTGGTGTTTATTGTACTCGAATGAGAGAAGATTGTAGCCTGATTATTTCAATAAATCAAATTATAATTGCTACTAGTCAGCTATGCTTTGATAGTACACCTCACAGACTCCTAAATCTCCTGATAAACTAATTTCTTTCAGAATTAGGTCCTTTTTTTACATAAAACGTGTTTTTCAACAGCTGTACATGTTGGAAGAGGAGCTGCAGCCATGCCTGGAGTGCAACAAGTTCTCGGAGAACACGCCCGAGGCTGAGCCCGCGCCGACTGACGGCGCCGGCGACCAAGGTAGGTTCTCTCTGATTATTTACTAAAGCCTGGTCCGTGAGCACGTAGAATTTTGTCCAATGACCCCATGCTACCCATCCTTATCGCTCGCGCGTAATTATGTTGATGTCGCGCTCGCACACTCACTGCGGGCGCGCGTCGCACAGTCGCGACAGCAATATAATTACGCGCGAGCGATAAGGATGGGTAGCTTGGGGTCATTGGACAAAATTCTACGTGCTCACGGACCAGGCTTATTACGGCACAGCTGCTTAGGCCAGGGATTAGATCCTTTTGTTGTACGAGAGGGGACCGTAAGAAAACCTAACGTCACGCCGAAACATGCCCATTTATTATGTCAAACAAAACTTTAAATTTTTTTTGTTCTACATATAAATTTTTTTTCCAACTTTTCTGAACGTGTGCCATGGAGCTTATCTTAGTATCAAATGACGGGTTTCTTGCGGTCCCCTCTCGTACTATTATCCTATCTGCAGAAAGGTGTGTAGTGAATGCATATTTGAATGTGTAGGAGAGGGAGAGAAAGTGTAGTACATTTCTTTTTCAGGGCCTCCTCCGCCTCCTACGTAATGTGCATTTTGAACGGATTTTTACTATTTATTGAGTTGGTAGATTGACAATAAAAACAAACTTTAATTTTAATTGTTTTATTGTAATAATAAATAAATAATTTACATTTTCATCGAAGCATATTTACAACTTATCACGGCGGTCTAATATAATTTAAATAAATACCTATTAAAATAGTTTACTCGAATCTATAGTAATAATTCATTGAATTTACTTTCTAGCTTGAATATAGATTTATAACATCCGTAAAGAAATACAAGAACTTTGCGTGAGAAAGTTTTATAAGTACAGAATTATAATAAACTAAAATAAATTTACCTATTCATAGAACGATAAATAAAATTATGAAATTCAAACAGTAATGCGGTTGTATAAATATTATTTGGTAACAATAAATACAAAAATTAAGTTGCAGGGTGATAACTTGAGTTTCGGGTAATATTGGAATCTAATCTACATATTTTATTGGTTTGAAAGATTTTAGTTCAATTATGATTTGATTACTTAAGACAAATTGTATAAAAGTACAAAAATATAAAGATAAAAAACTTGAATTATGTCCCTGGCACTTTGCTATAGAATTTAAATATTAATAACAAAGTATTCACCGTAATAATTCACCCTGAAATCAAATGTAACTTAATCGTAGGCTTACAGGCTAAAGAATAAATATTATTTTATAAAATCACTCGGTCATCTCACTGGGAAACGCCTCAGCTGTTTTATTGTAACAACTACTTCGACCTCGCGACGGTCTCTAATGTAAATAACTCGAGATGGGATTTTGGAGTCGATTTTTGAATTCCACCGAAAACTATTGAAACTCGTATACGAATCATTTTCACTGCCGTACAGGAAATCTGAAGATTCGTAAACGCTTTTAAGTTTTCGGTTGCGTGTGACATTCAAAAATCGCCTCAACACCTGTATATTATATCCTTACACGTATTGCTAAATGTAAGAGATGCATCGTCAGTCGATCCATCTCAACATTTAGGTATTATGTTGTACATTATTATTCCCTCGTCTATCGTCATGCCACTGTTACTCACTAATAACTAGAAAATACAGCGTTTTGAGACACCTAAAGCATTCTCAAAACTACTACAACAAGGATACAACCATTAAATCAGTAAAGTCAATGCAAGTTATAATTTGCATTGGCTAGGGCTGATGAGACTCAGGTTCATTGCAGCAATTGCTTAACATTTATTTAATAAATAAAATGTTTTAATGAGCATTTGCTGTAAAAACACATCTCGTAGGAATAACAGGTATTTTGGGTAATAAGGTAAATCGTTTTTTCATAGTAAAATCCTTGAAGACACAATTTTAAATGTCTTTTTCGGCTTGGGAGTCTTGATTTTTTGTGGGTTTCTTGACTGAATTGTTAAGCTTGATGTTGCGACCCTGCATTTACCAATCTTGAAGATAGCAATAAGCAAAAGTTGATGGACTACTTGCACATCTTTCTTTCTAGTATTAGTCCCAACTTCTGGATGTAAATGATTCCTAACCTATCAGTTTATGTAACGATAATGTCATATCATATCTTAGCCAGAAGATATACTAATCCGAAATAAACGAAAAGAGTGCAAGTAAATCAATCAAAATCAAAGACGCAACATCATGGGGTCAATGCTAGTAAAGCTAGATTCAAAGCTAAGTCTTGGATCTAAGTTGCCACGTTAAGGTGGCTTGCGATCAGCGCGATTGGGCCGAACATCGCAAGATGGCTGATCACTGCAGGCGGCACGCGAATCGCGCGCAGTCGTGGTCGCGGCTCGCCGCCATGACGTCACCCAGGTGGTGCGCCACCAGCGCCGCGCTGCCGCTGTTGCCGCGGGAGATCCTGGAACAGTTTAAGGGAGATGTTAGAATACGCTAGTTAATAGACAATTTGACACCATTCCCCAATAATTCTAAATCACAACTTTTCTAAAAAGACACTTCATTCTGGTCTTAAAAACTTAATTAATTTTAAATTACCTATAAATTACGATTTTTGGTCGCATTGTAATTGAAAAAAGTAGTTTGAGTTGACAAAATAGTGACGTCACTTGCTTGTAGTGCCATACAAAAGGGAGTTTCGTTTTGACAGTTTTTAAAAGTACATCAATTGATTTGTGGAGTCAACAGCTCTATTTTTTTGCGCCAAGTAAATACTTTATTATGAAAAAGAATCAGTCGGATTTTTTTTTTCAATTTGGTCATTTAGGCCGCTTGTACAATGTACATGCTAAGAAAAGTTGACGGGCCTACGCAAGAGATCGTGTCGTTTCTACACACGAACCGTGTACAATGTACATTGCTCCGGCGCTGACCAAATATAATTCTTGTTTGCGCTAGATACAACACGCGGCAGACGCGACTGCTACGTGACAAATTTTTGTCAACAAAATTTTTGTCTTAGCATTAGTCAGAGTAAGAGACATTTCAAGTCAGTGATATAACATTGGCTAAAAATACATTGCCCAATGTCAAGTATGACTAATACAAAACTAGCTCAATATAATTAAAGACATCGAAAAGCAAAGAAAATCTTCTGTCCGCCAAAAGTTATTACAGCATTTCGCACATTGGAAAATGTTATCCAAGTTGGAAAGCCTATTAGATGAATGTGCATTCAAAAGAAGAGGTGATAGATAAAATTCATAAAATTCATTTATTTTTGCAAATAGGCTTTAAAAAAGCGCTTTTACACGTCCCAATATTAACCCTACCACTGCTTCGGGACAATAAATGGGCCAATGGATAAAACAGTACATAAAATATTGTTATTAAAAGATAATAAAAGGTACACAAAGCTAAACACTGTGACATGTGAGTATCAGTGCCACAAACATAAAGCCTGCCTTATATGCCGACCACTATATTTAGTCCATGATAAGATCTAATAATAAAGCAAGAGGCTAGTCAGTCACGTGAGTAACACAATAAGGATAAGTGTCGCGATGTGTGGCACGAGTGCGTTGGAACGGCCAGTGCCAGTCATTTGCAATGCAGATTGTAGATCGCTCCAGCGTGTTTGGTAACGTCGTTAACTTCATTCGCCACACGCTCGCAAACGCATCCATATTCATGCGGGCTTCGAGCCTAATGTTCGTTCATAAAACTCTAAACCGCCAATTTAACAATCCATTTACAAATCATATTTTAATGAATGAAGCATAAACTTCATGTTTAGCCTGTATTGGGTCTGGTTCCCATCGGAATATTAACAAAGTTTCGAATAATCGTAAATATTTATATTTTATGAAGAATACGTGCTTATAATTTGGAAATTAAACGAAAGATTTGACCATGAACGAGCTATTTACTTACTTAATGGACAGAAATTAACTCTTATTTTTATTACAAACAATCCGTTGCATTATTTCTTACTAGCTTTCCGCCCGCGGCTTCGCCCGCGTGGTATTTTGTCTGTCACAGAAAAACTTTATCGCGCGCGTCCCTGTTTCAAAAACCGGGATAAAAGTCCTTTCCCGAGACTCAAACTATCTATGCCAAATTTCATCAAAATTGGTTCAGTGGTTTAGGCGTTAAAGAGAGACAGACAGAGTTACTTTTGCATTTATAATATTAGTATAGATTCATATTTTATGTCTGGAAATAATAAAAAATACATATTTTAGAGCGAAATTATAACATTTAAGCATATTAGCGAGTTAGAGAACTCACATTATCAAGCCTCCCAAGGAAAAGACATCAACGCGCTATTGAAAAAATTTTTTACTCAGAATAATATGTTTATGTGAATTTTATGTTAGTCCTGTCTGAGTTTGAGTCATTGTTGGTGCTTTCTCGTGCGCCCGCGCCGGCGCGTAAACATCGGAAACTTCCGCGACCATCGCTTTTGCGAGGGCTTGGCTTTAGCAGGTCTTATGCGTGTTTATAATAACAATAATATGAGATTTTCCTCAAGTTGTTTTTTTTAAGATGGCAAATGTTTTTAAACATTAAAAAATTTATAAGCCCACGTCATTTCTTTTGCTTTAAGTTGCATTACATTAAAGAAGATATCTTTGGTGCGGTTAACACTTTGATAAGATATTATTCAGTAATGCATTAGTTTTTCCATATCGATTACAAATAAATGGTCATAGTAAATTTTTCACGAGAACGGCACTATCTGTATTCATATGAAGAGCTTTATCGGGAGCCTTGATGCACCCGAATCAAAAGTGTCACATCACAGGCATCGCCAGAATCCTCTTGCATTTCATCAGCACTTACGCAAGCCCTAGAGACAACGCCAAACGCCAAGAATGCCGCGCGGTCACTTTCACCGGTTAGCGGTTGCGCAACGCGGGCGGCAGGCAGTCTGAGCCAAGAAAAAATCTGGCCGCTGACGTAACTGTTATGCCGAGTTACGACGCCACTTTTTGTGGTCATATGTGGTATTGACGTTCGGTATTTGAGGCCGACGCCGACGCTGCCTACAGCCCGGCCGTTGTCGGCGCATGTTTTCAAAGGTTACGCCGTGGCCATGACAGATTTTTTAGGAAGCGGGTGCTGATTAGTCATGAATTTTTAACAAAAACAAAAAAATCTTGTGGTTTATACAATGACATATATTTTACAGTCCCTATTACTGGAAAAAATAGAGATCTGTGTTAGATTTCATGTTTATAGAACGAAATTACAGTCGCGATATTGATCGCATGACCACGATTCATTGTGCTAAATACTTTATCTATCTTTTCAAAACACTTTTTCTTTAGCTAATAAGTTAACACAAACTAAACTATGAACTGTTACATTTCAGAACGTTTCTTAGAAAAAAAAAAGATATAAATAAATTGCTGACGATATTTTCAAGGTAACATCGCATCATAAAGATGTAAATGTTGATTATTACACGTCTTTCTTAGCACAGACAGTTATTCTAGCGTGAATTGGAACGTAAATATTTTTTTGCAAAATGACGGTAGTTTTACTTTGTTACACGAATGTCATTTGCTTCGACGTTAATGTCAGTGACGCGGACGCGCGGACGCGATCAAGCACGGCAATAGAAAAATAAAAATCTTATTAGTGAGTTATGTGGTCCATAATGTGTAACTATACAACAATGTGAAGACAAGAAATTGAGTGCATTATACGATTTATATAGATGACTGCAAGATTGTGATTTATTTTTCATTTCATTAGCGGATGCAATGCAGACACGATTGAAATCAGAAAAGTCAGTGGCAGAAATTCTTCAAGTTGGTGAGTAGATAGCATTAATTGATTTACCGTATTTTACGCAAACTACGTAGGTACTTTATATCTTGCCAGCGTTTGCATTTAGGTTATATGAGTATGTGCCTGCAATTCTGAATTGAAGTTATTTGAATTCAAAGATGGCTATATTGAGCAATCGGCAGCGAAAGGCTACGTCGAAACATCCTTCGGTTTCCACAGCGCATGCGGCCGGGATGCAAATGTCGCATTATTGAGTCGGTCGACACCTGAGCATGAGCGCACGCGCAGGGTTGCAATTCATTTGCAAGTGGACAAATTCGTATGTAGAATATAGTTCATTTTGGCATCGCTATTGTAACATATTTTCGCTTCGGTGTAAATACGGTGTGTACGATACAAAATTAATTATTTTAATTAACCAGATATGAAAACGAAATTTCATCCTTATATTTGACGTGTTCCTTCATTGATCTATTTATGTGGCTCATATTGCCGCCTTAGGGCTGATTTTTCAATAGTCAGATAACTTTTAACTGAAGAATAAGTTTGGCACATTGACGGTTTCAGTATGGAAAATATGTCAAAATGACAAGTTTATTCCTCAGTTAAAAGTTATCCGACGATTGAAAAATCAGCCCTTAATTTAATTTAAACTGATACCCGACATGTTAGATATCGTATTCTGACTATCATTTGTCACTTAAATATTATAATCATGATTTTATTACACAACTACCTACTGTCGTGTTCAATTCAATCATTAAGTAGGTGACGTGACAAGACAATCCAGAAATATAGCCGTAAGTCATGTCATACGAAAAACTATAAATCTTTTTTTTTAATTTCTAAGATTTCGCCCGCTATTTTTTAACAAATTAAGTTGTCGCCTGTCACAGTATGTTTGCTGGCTTATTTTCTTAGACACGAAAGTATAAAACTGCGGTAAATTACAATGGTTAGTAACACAGCGTTTTTTTGTAAGCACCTGATTAAAGTACGTGTCGGATCGAGGGTAGGTCAGCCCTGGCGCGCGCGCATGTTTATGTTCCGCAGGGCGAGAGTGAAAGTGCTGAGTGTACTGTCCTGTTCCTGTCGCAATGGTTATGTTTGGGTCAGCTTTTGCACGACCTATCCTGAGGGCAATGTCAATGGGCATAATGTTGTTTTAAGAGATGTAGTCGTAGTGTAGCTTTAATTATTAAATTAGCGGATATAATTTCAAAGATACATGATCGATAGAATGTTTTCTAGATATCTATACAAGATCTACAAACTTTACACGAAGCTGGGTCAATGTTTTCATCAACACTTAATTATTAAAAGCATAAGCATTTAATTTAATAACTACGTAATCATTATTTGCCCAGTGCCACAAGTGCACAGTATTAACAGCGATGTCAACAATAACATTGTGATTGTTATGACTCGATAACAACACTCAAGTGACTTTCATGGCCTTTCTTGTTATTCATTCTGTGGTCTTGACACGAGTTGCACAAGTCGTTTGAATACCTTGTTATTTTTGATACTTCGTTTAAAAGAGTTAAGACTGATTCTACTGACTGATCTTCAAATTGACTAGAAATTAGCCATCATCATTAATCAGTAAGCATTCTAAGAACACCGAGTAAGAGGTGTGTGTTGCGTTGCACTAAGGATATAGAGTCGTGTCATATCCTTTTCAATTTCTCATGCCAGTTCGACTAAAAGAGATCCGCAAACACGAAATTATCTCCGAGTTCTTCACGCTCGCTAAGCACATCGTTACAAGCTTTTAGTTTTCCATTTCATTTTCTAAACAAACGTATTTACCAACTATAAACTTGTAAAGTGTTAGTTATATCCCGAGACATAATCGTGGCTCTCGACCGGATACGGTTCCGGCCCGAATGAAAGTGCGCTCCGGCTGGCTCGCGTTAGGCCTCAGCCTCGAGTTTAGCGGGCAGCGGGGCGGCGGCGGTAGCGGCGCGGGAGCGGCAGGATCTTATGCGTAAAATCAAATAGACCGGTTCTCGAAAACAGCGGCGCGGGAGCGGGCAGCGCACTCCTTCTTTTGCCCACAATAAATCGAGCTTTAGGAATAAATTTGAATCGAAATAAGATTGTTGCCGTTGTTCAGACATTTCGTTTGCGAATAAAAACAAATATCTCGACAACACAACCCCAAACACAACACTTCGCCGCTAAAGCGCCGCGCGAGCTGCCCGCTTGTTTCGAGAACGGGTCTGCGTTGCCCGCCCCGCTCCCGCGCCGCCGCCGCTCCCGCCCCGCTGCCCGCTAAACTCGAGGCTGAGGCCTTACGGGCCGGCCGGGCGGGCGGCGGTCGACACGCTTTGTTGTGATCGCATCTCTCCGGGCAGCTCCGGTTTGCTTTGGGCTCATCATGATGATATCAATTTACTTGCTCCGTGATTTTGTTTGAATTGAAACTGTGAGCGTGAATATTGTCTATTGCAAGAAACTGAATGACTGAATGTGCAGTTTAATTCAGTTTAATTCACGACAATATCTATGAAATCGTACGAGTAAATGATATAACATTTCGCTGTGTAAATTGAAAAACTTGAATCTTGTGCGTTGATTCGTGTTACAGCACCTAAATCCACACGTATGCAATGTAACCGTCTGATGGCTTTGGAACATCAAGCGATATTAATAGTATGAAGAAGCTTTGCAATAAATTACCCTTTTCTGACATTATACAAGCCACACCTATGTTTGCTTAGATTACATAGTGAGCATAAAGTTCAGTTCTCTAAACTATCATACCTACATTCATTATAATTAAATCTGGCCCCATAAACAAACTTGAACAGCAACGAAGCGATTCGCCATTAGCAATAGTGGTTTCTTTATCAATTAAAGATGAACCGATTCAGTCAGTGATGTTATGTAACGTGTCACTTTAATTTTTAATTTGTATGCATTTATTTGTGAAGAATTAATGGATTTTTAATTATGTTCGCCATTGGAGTTAACTGGTACGTGACTTTTTAATTACAATTTTAAGCAAATAGCAGACATTTTCTTACGTAATTCCAGTAATATTTTAAATTAGATAGCTTCTTACGCAATTCCTCTTGGCCCTTTTAATATAATAATTTAATTACTTTATGGAATGGCTGAATCTGAAAACGTTTGCTTAATTATTTAACATGATGTGGCGTTTTTATTCCTGAGTAGGAAATTAAGCTGTTAGCATTTTTAAAGACGATTTCTTACAAAAAATTGTTATATCATCACCAGATCCGTGCTTTCATAATCATGTTATGATTCTTCTATTTTGAAAAATTGAATTCGTTAATTTTAATTTTCTCGTAAGTTGAATGAGACACACGTATTGTCAATGTTATTAATATAGTTTTTTTTGGGATTATTAAGTCATAAAATATACAGGTAAATGAGATTTTTCTTTGGCCTAACATTTTAAATCTAGATCTGACCATGATGACTCATTATTATCTGACATTATCTCATGCTATGATGTCAATGATTCTCGCGATCTTTGCTCTCACGTGCAATCTATCAAAGACGAAAGTTCAGTGTTTAATCCGTGCATATTTAGCGGTAATAGTTGATTATTGCAGCGCGGCGAGGACGCGGATCATCGCTTTCACCGTTTCTAAATCCGAATTCTCCAAACAAACCGCTCACTTTTCTACTGTTTCGAGCGTTTATGCAACGTGTACCGCGGCAGTGCATTACATGACGCTCGTAATGCAGCGTGCGCGCTGACCTCGGGAAAGTGCGACCACTGCACTCGGAGTGAGCTTTACGACCACTTATGAAGCTTTACGGCGACTCCAAAGCGAGTTTATGACCACAACACAACACATAATTGAGGTACTTACAACTTGAGTAGTGACTCCATTTTCTTTTCCATGGCAAAGATGGAATCCGACGACTGCGACGTCAGCACTTTGCAGAACGTAAACTTGGCGCACTGGGAGTCTCGCCAATCCGTCTGCTTCACGAGGTCCATCGCGGCGGACGTGAGCGACGACGGCGCCTGGCTGCCGTCCAAGTGCTGCAACTCTTCGGGCATGTCTTGATCCAACGACCTCTTGGCCATGTGCCTCCTTTTTACTCGCCTCAAAACGGCTCCCTCGTAGTGTGGCTCCTGAACGTATGCTGATACGTCTCGCTTTGACCTGCCTCCCACGCTACCGTCGGGCGACATGACAACATACACATTCTCACTCGGCATCTTGTAGTTGTCATCGTATATTTTCTGCGTGCTCAATATTTTCCTGTCAATGTCATAAGGAGCACCAATGAAAGATCTCTTGTGTTCCTTTTCGATTTCATCTTGAATGTCACCATCTGTTAGACCAGCTGTGCGCATTAAATTGACATCCAGTAATCTACCCATGGCCACTGCCCCTAGACCGAGAGCCGCTCCGCCGGCCATCAGCCCGATCGCTGGAAGCATGGCAGGAGCCCCGGATGCCACGGCAGCAACACCAACCTTATCTTGGGCATACCTCTGGGTTTGAATGGAGTTGGACGGATACAGACCCAGATTGTGGGTGATCTTTTGAGTTGCCTCTACCAAGGGGTCGAAGACAGGTTGTGTCACTTTAGCGATAGGGTCAATTATGGGCTTCGTGAATTGTTGAACGGTTTGACTGGCCGAGTTGATAGTATCCTTCATGGAGTCAGTGAATCGCTTCCAGAGAGACGGTTCGGGTGTCCGTTTTATGTAACCGTAGCTGTAGGGGTAATGGTTAGGGCTGTGGTTGTTTTCGTAGTAAGAAAACTTTTTGTATTCGTCTTCGTAGTATCTGTTTGAGTTAGGGCTCTGCGAGCGTTGCTGGCCGTATCCGTTGATAGGTTCCATAGGGTAGGGATGAGCACTCTTCGGTACGCTGCTGTAGTATTTGATTTTCCGGTCTTTGTTTTCATAGGGGTCGATGTTATCTCGCGTTGCCTTCGCAGGCTGAACGCCTAGTTCTGGGTGGGCGTATTGTAAAACTGGATTTCTTACGCTCTCATCGAAGCCGGGTTTCGCGTTCTTGGGAGTATACATGACGGAGTTGGGGAAGTTGGCCTCTCCAGGGTGCTGCAGCATGCGGCGCTGTATGTGGCTCTCGGCGTACTCCATGTCGCCGTTGTGAGCCCTGGAGCTTCGGCCGCTGAAGTAGTCTCGTTTCAATTCTTGTTCGTTTATTTGTTTTATGTATTCGATAAGTTTCGAGTTGGCAACTTTCGAATTGTCGGCTTTAGTGAAAGGACCGTACCCGGACTTCTGTTTATCGAACCTCTGATTGTGAACAAACGATGGATTTGCGGTGTAGATGTCATAATCGTCATTTATGACGTCGGCATCAAATTTCAAGTTATCGAATTTAGTAAAAGGTCCGTCTTTGGGTTCAAAATTGTCATCTTTGGTGAAAGGTCCGAAGCTGTTAGCAGGCTCAGAGGAGGATAAGTCCGGGTAAACATCGGCTTCTGGGATCGCCTTCGGAGGAGTGTAGCCCTCAGGGTATGGCTGTAGTTCTCCGTTCACCACACGCGCGTTTCGCCAAGTTTTTTTATCAGACTCATCATCTGGCATTCTTACACCCTGAATTTCAGGAATACCATCATCTCCTAAGGTCAAAATTGACCTTCCGCGTTTGCTGTTGTACTTATCCACTGCTTTCTTGATATACATTGGTTCTGAACTTATCACGACCGGGTCGGGGATCTTAAACGACTTACCCTCGTCAGCCACCTTCGTACTGACGACTTCTATGTATACGGGGTTCCTATCATTTTTGATCACTGGATTATGAGGGTCAAATCTGTAGTTTTTGACCGGACCTCCGTAATCCAAGTAGCTGGTTGAGGTGATGTATACTTTTTTGTTTTCCGTTCTTTTTTCGTTATCATAAGTGGGGTAGTAGTTAGATGTTTCTGGATCAGTGTCAGGTTTTTTACCGTCTTCCTGAATGTGGGATTCGGGGTATACCGATACAGGCGACCAGTTTCCGTATTCCGCTTTTATGTCACTGAATTCTTCTGTGTTCTTGCGATTTGAGTAGTAATCGTAGCCAGCCAAGTCGCTGTTGATGGGGCCAACGAAGTTCAGTTTTCTCTGATCTCTCGTTTCGGTTTTGTTCTTGGCCTCATCTGTGGTGGAATTGACTTTGGCGGTTGTAGTTTTCAAAGCGACCGTGGTGGGCACCGCCGTGGTGCTGGACTGGTGCGTGGTCGACTTGGCGTCTTTTTTCTTGACGATTAGCTGTGTGACGTGTCCTTGTCGGGTTTTGACGTTGAGGGTTTGTGTCTCGTGAGGGTTGAGGCTGCGGGAGACCTTGAGCTCGGTGCGCGTGGTCCGCGACGGCAGGATGGTGGTGCGGATGGCCTTGGTGGTGGCGGTGCTGTTGTCGCCCTCCGCTGCGCAGGCGGCTGCGAGCGCCAGCCAGAGCACTGCGCATATCCGAATATGTTTAACGGGAGTCATCTGAAACCAAACAAAATAAAATATAAGTCACAATATAATTTCAGATATTTTTTACAACACCTTACGGTAAGAATAGAAATCGCTAATTGAGTCACAAATGATTGAACGACTAATGATGTATTGACGATTCAATAATAATTGCGTTTATACTTCCTAGACTAAAATGAGATACAAGTCGATCAACTTATCAGTATTGTTAATTTTTAGAAAATACTCAATAATTAATAATATAGGGGAGAGTTCGGTATATTGTACCGCCGGGTAAATTGTACCACCCTCATATTTCGTAAAGTATTTATTGAATGTCTGTAATTGCAACACTCAGCGATACACAACTAAATTCAATTAATATCGGCCATGTGGTTTTTGCCGTGACAAAGAACACGTGTGTTTTATTTTGAAAAGTATTTTTTCATTGTTTTCAAGTAACTTTTGACAATGCATGTTTAGTTTGTAATTTTGTTAAATTTGATCACTGGGTGTTTCTAATATATTATTTAGAAGCGTAAATTAGTGTGGATTACAGTTATTTGAGACATTTTTCGGTATTTATAAGCTATATTTTTTACCGATTTTTTAAAAGCACTATCACCTAGTCGGCTAAATTGTACCACATCAAGTTGTATGGAACTTTACCAAAGGATTTTGAAATTTTTTTTAGTAAATCATATTTTGAAGTTATAATAGCGTAATTATGTTTGACTTACAATAAATGAAAGCAAAAGACTGGCAAAGTAGATTAGGTACAAGTGTGCGTTACGATAATTGGATTTACAAAACTTGTACTTAAAATCGTGATAACGTGTAAAACAATATCGATTATCTATGTTATTAACTATTGTTCCTTTTCGTTTCCTAATCTGTTAAGAATGTATCGTATAATATTTTGCCATAGTTTTTTTATAGGCTTGAAATTTATTGAAATCCAATTTAGTAACCCTGTGGTACAAATTATCGAACCGGTTGGCTAAATTGGACCGAAGCTCTGAACTCGTACTTTGTTGATTTGTGCTAAATATACAACAATCATGTTAATTAATACTTATGAAATAGTAAGTTGAATAATGCATCTTTTATTATATACCATGGACATTAGCAAAAACAAAAGAAAACTATGTGTAAAATGGGATTGAAAAAAACTGGTCCAAATTAGCGGACTCTCCCTTAAACTGTCTTGCTTGAGGTCGGAATAGTGTGGAATAAAAGGAAAAGAAAGTCTTATAAACGTGTAATAAATTTTCTTTTCATCATTGTCAGCTTAACGCACACGGTTCTTAAATTATAGATTCAGTCGGCAGCATGAAACGGAGAAAGCGAAGGAAAATCCTTAGAAATTGTGTGTGGTCAAGTTTTCCCGCGTCACCGTAATTAAGCGCACTTTCGATCGCCCGCAAGTGACGCTCGCGCTTTGTCGCTACGTCACTTTTCACAAGAGCTCACATAACCGTAAACTGATTTATTACTTATTTGATTGTTCTCTGCTTTACCATTGCATTTGCATTGTAGTTTTACAAGAATTGGCGGGGGCTATTACATAAACAATAATCACTTCATAAATATGTAAACGGTTAAATATTTAGCTAAACAAGCCATGAACTCTTGGTCGCCTGCGTGTGCAGTTTGGCCGAATACTAAATATTTATAACACAACAGATTTTGTCGAGATATGTTAACAATGTTTGCTTGTGTATTTAATTAAAAAAATAAAACGGGAGCGTGAAAGATAAAAGCTTCCAGAATTGCTTCCTAAAGCATTAAACTCACATAAACGGTAGGCGGCTTCTCAAAAGGCGTTAAAGAATCTCAGAGATTCCTCAGGCGCAATAAAAAGTACCTTTAAAAGGTTTACTATCCAATGCAGCATTCTACAAATTGAAGATAATTAATAATTGGCGTTGAAAAGATATGAAAAACTACCGCTTATTAAATTATTGTTAATCAACAAGCACAATAAATACAGTATAATAGTCTGCGTGATTATCCACTACTATACAACGTGCTCTTTTTTATTTCCTGAAACTCTAGTTAGCTCAGTCTGTCTGTTTATGACAAAAGAAAAAAATAATATGTACCTAATTGAATTATGTATCGTTCGTTCGTTCGAACCATACATAATTGAATAATGTGTAATATCAAATCCTTTTGTCCCAAAAATATTCATATTTTTGATGGAGGGTGATAGATTAATTTCAATGGCAAACCAGAATCCACGCAGACGATGCCACTGGCAGAAGCTTGTATATTTTATTAATTGTTTAATTATTTTAAAGATCGCATCTTTGGAATGTGCAAACATTATGTGACTTATGCAGGAAGCATTACATTTTCTTTGTAATTGAGTAGTTGATATCTCATTTATTAAGTACTAGCTTTCCGCCCGCGGCTTCGCCCGCGTGGAATTTTGTCTGTCACAGAAAAACTTTATCGCGCGCGTCCCTGTTTCAAAAACCGGGATATAAACTATCCTATGTTCTTTCCCGGGACTCAAACTATCTCTATGCCAAATTTCATCAAAATCGGTTGCGAGGTTTAAGCGGGAAAGCGTAACAGACAGACAGACAGAGTTACTTTCGCATTTATAATATTAGTTGGGATTGGGATTTTACTTTTGAAAATTGTTTTTAGTAACAATTGAAACTCGTAAAAAGACAGAGACATACATAGTGACTCTTCACAAGCTTTTATTTAATTGAAATGCTATAAGCACCAGCAGAGTAAGCATAAACTTTTTTGCTATACCTTTTAATTTTTACTATCATTACGCAGTAGAGATTAACCTTTTTAAAGTCGGTTTCTCTATAACGCCGCAGCAAGATGAAATATCTCCTAATGGCGTTCGAGCGGCTGCAACAACTTTCGTTACATTTTCACTACATTTTTGAGAGAAACGAAACGTGAATGCGAATGCTAAGTGGCGTGTTAAGTTTTTTCTCGGATAATATAGTGTTGCGTTTAACGCCATACGAACGTAGCACGGAGTCGCCGCCCTGCCGGCCGCCGGCGAAAACTGTGGGAAATGACTCGCGCTGATTCACGCCGTTTCGGATCGATTACTTTTATGGAGACCTCATTTACTTTTGTAGAAATTGTTGATGTTTATTTAGCGGCTTTCACGGTACGCTTTTACATGGATGTGGTTTATTTACCCCTGCTTGGTTTGTTACTTGATCGCGTGTACTTTCGCTATACAGACATATTTTATTTACATAAAATCTACAAAAATATCCTGTATTTGCTAATATTTTAAATAAAAGGATAATGTACCTAATAATAAGTTATTATAGCTTAAGCGAAAAGACTCACTACTAAAAAAATACTTTACCATTTCTATTTGTTCTCAAATAGCCTCTAATACAGTATATAACTCTACACAAATATTAATTAGTCGTTCCATCCGAACGACACCAGCTTTCAGTACTTTGGAAAATGTGAAAAGCGGATTTCAAACATCGCCCGAGTTGAAGTGTCAGTTTATAATAACTACCATCTCATACTTAACTTCAGTTCAGAAAACTTTCTGTTTACTCACGGTCACGCTGATCACAAATCAATCTATGTATGATCCGAAATGAGATTGAATGTCGATTCCATATAGCATTGTTTGTTCTGTATCCTTTGCCATAGAGATACTTAATGCTTTATAAAATTCACCAGCTATTCCTTGCCTACCGTATGTGTATTACAATCTATGCTTGTAAATTAAGTTAAATCTGCCCTAACTCTAACGATAATTATAATTTTATAGTGTGCTTTATTTATGTGTGTGATATGGCTCTACTCGTGTCTTTTGGCAATATTTTTTATGTTTTAATTGTACATAACCATTAGTTAAATGTAAAGCCATGAGCCACAATCCCAAGCGTTTTGGTGTCAGGCCCGTAGATGGGCAGACCCAGACAACCACATAATTGGAGCGTCGTAATTAACGCAAGATAACTTTGTGTGTCTGTGGTCGGTCGCCTGGCAACACTAGCAACGAGTTCACAATACATATTTAACTATTTCATTATCTATTCGCAAAGAAAAGGGCTACAAAATTTTATCCTTGAAGACCATTATTCTTCTGGCTTTAGTTATTGAAAATGCCTTACGGCCTAGCGGCCTAAGGACTTTAACGAACAGAATGTATCAATTATAGTTAAATTCACGAATAAGGATCGGTTGACCTAATGCCTAAATATCAAATAATCCCTAAGCGATTGTGTGAGCTGTGGGAAAACACCAAACTATGTGCGAGATTTACTATCGCGACGATTGTTGCGCCAGAGTGCAGGCTGGCATTTAGAACACCCACACGTTTTGCCCGTTAAATGTTTGCTGCAAGATTACCACGTGGTTAAATAGGCATTATTATTAACCTACATGCAGTCAGATACTCGATCATTTAGTTCGATGTAACTTCTATTGGCTACAACTATTACTCGTAATATTTTTAAACTGAACTCGTTTCGGCATCACTTGACACTAAACAAAACTCCAGAATCAGTGTAGGTAGATGGAAAGATAATGAGACATTTAAATATGGCAGTTGAACATAATTCAAAACTTCCTAAACTGCTTTTTGCTGCTTTTGCATTATTGTTTTCAGAGACATTTCTTAACCGGCAATAGAAATGCGATAAAACGCACTTTTAGTGAAGTGAGGTCTTCACTAAAAGTGCTTTTGAAGACCTCACTTCTAAAGCTCTAAGCTTCTTTTAACCTTTTCAGCGCCACGTCAAATACAAAAGCCATCACTCTGACGCCACGCTTAATAAATTATGATATCAATATAATCAAATAATTTATTATTATTCAGTTTACATAATACTCAATTAGCCTATTACTGACATCATTTTTAAGGCGGATTAATCCGTCATTGGCGGTCAACCTGATGTACGCATGTATCCGTCATAAAAAGGTTAAGCTCGATGCAATGTAACTTCAGGACTTTGACAAAAAACATTTTTTATCTTATTAATTAAGGCACAGCAACACATTACAAATCATGGCTTAAACAT